GGAGATCCGCCAACCTAGAAGAAAACATGCTTACCTTTAGGGGAAAGGTGAAGCCCATCGCACCTGAGCATCTGTCTCATTGTGATGTGCGGGTCGTCGTCGAGGAAGCCAAAGCCCGCCTCGAGACACCATTCCCGAAGCTGCCAGTTGGTCTCTGCGATGCACATCGCATGCCATCTTCCACGTCCGCTCGCTGGTAGGACAGAGGAGAAACCCACCTGTGCGCCCATCTCAGCACGACCCCCAGAGCGTGGTAGTCCACCATCAGCGTTGTCCAGGCACGCTGAGCAAGGAGTACCTATATCAAGGAAGCTGGGAAGTTTCCCTGAATCAGGCAGGCTATCTTAGGCTGATTTCTTGAGCTAGTGGAGGAGGAATCATTTGTCTAGGAGTAACATTCAGCAGCTATTCTTGTTGACGTTTGTGTGAGCGACTCAGGTAGGTTTTTAAATAGCATTTTAATGGCAACCTCCAAAACCCCTTTTGAATGTTGGAAAACATTTGTCTTAAGTGGTGCAATTAAAGCAAATATTTCATAACGTTTATCTGAACTGAGTGAAATTTAATGGAGCATTCCTGGCTGGAATGGACTAGAATAATGTATGCATAACTGCTTGAGATCAAAGAGATCCAGAAACGCAGGATAATGCTGATGTGTCCATCTTGTGCAATCAGCCTGTTCTGCGAGACTTGCGTTCGCTTTCATAAAAGAGTGAAGTCTACCCAGAACATGCTAACATTTGCCCTTCTTCCATGTAATGCATTCTCTTTTCTTTCCGCACGCTCAAGTTCCTCTCAAGGTAGCGAGGCCCAAGAGAAGACGATGGGCATCAGTTGTAGGGGAAGGGATAGAGATAACAGCCACCTGATGCTGTCTCTTTCTTCCCTGTCTATTGTGAAATGGACTGCAAGCGAGATTCAGGTGTCAAGTGTGATCCTCGGACTAGATCTGGGTATGGGCTGTGGGGTTTAAATGCCTACATTTTGCCAAAGAACTAAATTGTTCCCTGGAAGGTCCCTACCTACCTGGTGCTTAAGAAACTCATGGGGTTTTGTTTTTGTTTTTTTTTCACTTCGCAGTAAATGCTGTCAGAGCTCTGCCACCATGCAGAAACCATACAAGAAGTGAAGGAAAGCATCAGGTTCATCCTGACTCGAGCACAGTTTGCAGTGCTTGCTGCACTTCAGGGAGTGCTTATGGGCTTGTGTTGAAGGTCACTCAAAGGCAGCTACATTGCCTCATTTTCCAGGAGTCAGCGTGCAACAGGGTTCAATGGGCTGGGGGGAGAGGGGTGGTTTCAGGGACACAACCCAGCTCCCACCAGGCATCCCTTCGGGAGCCCATACACCTGCTCAGGCTGCTGCATGCTCAGCATTGTGCTAGGCACAGGCCACATTGTGCCAGGCTCCTGGCATCCAACCCTCAGCTCGTTTTGCAGAATGAGGATTTGAAGACGAGTGCAAGATTATGGAAAATTTCTAGAGCTGCTTCTCAGGCTTCCCTAACAAACGCCAACTCGCAGCAAGCGTCAGAATGGATGGAGGAGCCCAGCAAATGGTGCTTCGGTTGGCCGAGGGAGCTCAGAAGGCCAGTCTTGATGTGCAGTTTCTTTTTGGCAAGTTGCTCAAGTGGAGTCCTTTTGCAAGCGTCTGCAGCTCTATGCACAACTCTCATGGCAAGGACACTGTCCTGTTTGCCCCCAGCTTTCCAGGACTTGGATTGGCCTGGGTATGTACTGGTAATGTAAAAGCTAGTGAGCAAAGCCAGCACTGTTTAACAGAAAGCAAAAAAAACACAGCAGTCCGGTAGCAGAACTGGGTTTTGCAAGTGAGAAAACTGCCTTATTTTGCCTTGGGCAGATTGAGTCATAATAGGTAGTGGTGGCATGCTCTCTGAAAGACTGGGAATAATTACAAATATGGCAGATGAGATGCATGGATTTCTTCATCATGGCAGGACAGAGCCTGGTTGTTTGTGCCACAAACTCATTCAGATTTTGGAGCCAAAAATAACTGGAGCTGCCTCTGCAGCTTCTCCATGCCATGAGAGTTGTTTTCTTCATCCTCCCTTGGCCTCTGCCACTGCTGAGCGGGATTCGTTCATGCAAAATGTAGATTTTACTTGCTAGGTCCATTAGAAAGGCCAAACTGTTGCTTAGATGCCTGAGCCACTGTTGTCCAGCATGTTCTGTTGTCGCCTTGAGGCGGCCAAGCTGGAAGGAAGCATCACATGCCGCCTCTGAGAGATGAGATGAATTCTGCATTTGACTTCCTGCACTCGCCTGCCCCGACCAAGGCCTTGATCTTGTTTAAATAGGTCTGAACAGACTCTGTCTTGCTTTCGGCTGTTGCTTGCGGATCTTCCAGATTGCCGTGTGCTCTCGTGTACTGAGTTTGGCCAGCGATCAGTCATGGTGGAGGGACTAATTTTGCTCGCGCTTTCCTAGGGCGGCTGGTCCTTGGGGTTCTGCTGCGTTCAAAGCTGCTGATGCTGGGGGAAAACTTCCCATGGTGCCTGCTTCTTGCTGGTATTGTTCGTGTGCTGCGCCAGCCTTGCCGCAGCCTCGGAAACCCTCTTAAAGTCCTTCCACACGTGCTATTAGACGGAGTGTTTTTTTTTTTTTTTCTTTTTTTCCCCCAGCTATGCAGTTGGTGTAATAAAAGGTATCGCATCTTCCCAAAGAACCTTGCCTGCGTCCTTAGACTCACATGACTACAACCAAAAGCCCAGCAAGTTTTGGATTTCGAGGGTATTATCGCAACAGCTCAGACCAGTGCCATGGAACCATTCCTGTTCTGTAGCATTGATAGCATCGCTCTTAATGAGATGAAATAGCTTAGTTTCATGGGGTTTCTTCCACAGCACATGACGTCCAGGGGTCCTAAACCTGTCAGGTGGGTGGACTGCCATGTGGTCAGCTGGCCTGAGTCTCTGGGTAGACTTCCTGTCCCTGATCGGTTGTTCGATATGAGCCCAAAGCCTTGGTGACCATTGTCCTTGCGAGTATTTATTGGGGTAGGAAACGAAGAAGAGTGTCATGAGGGCATGGATTTTTCACAGCCAAATTGAGGCATAAAATTGATGAGTTGGTAAGTTATTTGTTCAAGCAGAAGAGCCTTTTGTGGACGGGGGTTGCTATCAGGACAGGCAAGATGCTGAGCCAATGATTTTTTTGGCTGGCGTGAGCCTGCAGAATGCTGCATTATTCAGCCGCTGTGTAGAGAAGTAATGAAGCTGCTTGCATATGACTGAATAAGACCTGCTGACATCCAAAGCACTAGCTCCAGCCATGCTGGGACGACTTCTTTTATCCTCTGCCAATTGTTAAGCGGGTGAAATTCCTTCAGCGCCCAAACCCTGCTATCCTTTTTGTGCAAGCGAGACCAAAGCATGCAAGAAGGACCAAAATATTAGTTCCACATTGGTGTGTTTTGTCCTTGGAGTAATAGGATTGTCTGAGAGGGACTTTGCGCTCTTGGGAAAGCGGCGGTATGTAGAACGTAAGTCTGGCCTTACGATTTGAAGCTTTTGCAAGTAAGTTTGCTAAATGGTTCCTGCAAGAATTGAAATCCAAAGCATCTTTCTGATGCTCCTCTCCAGGCTATGAGCTCCATCGCTTTCCTTTGTTACACTGACAGGAATTTTTATGTTAAAAGGGTACAGATGAAATAATGAAGACCTCTTTTAATGCATGCACATATCCGCATACTGCTTTCTGGCCTTTAAAATTTCTCCCAGCCTGCAGGGAAATAGCACCTCTTATTTTTTTCCAGAAATTTGTAGAAGTATACACTGGGCAGGACAGGAAGATTTAAAAAAAACTCAAACCCACAGCAGTTTTCTTTGTTTTTAAACATCTGTGTATAGGGTGTATTGCCACATCATATGAACATGTTTGGCAAAAACTAGATCTGTGTCTGTTTTTTCCTAACTATACATATTCTTATTCTCCCCAAAGTCGAGAGGAAACTTTCTGGGATGAGAGTCATTAAAGTTTAGTCCTCGAATGTTACAATTTCTGCCTTTTTGAGCCTGAGTTCACCCTACCTCTTTATTCATCTGATCTTTCTCTTGCACACCCATATACCTGATGTGCTTGAAGTCTGCTCTTGAAATTCAAAAGCTATCATGAAAAGCAGCAGCTGTTCTGGGGTTCAAAACAGGGTCATGCCACATGTAAAAGCTTGCTATTAAGAGGAGCAGAGAGAGACTTAATGGACAGTTGCCTTAATCTTATTCATCTCTCTTGTTCTGACTTTATTCAGTTATGATAGTATGCTTATTACTAATAATCCTAAAATAGATCACCCATTAAGAAGCTCTGTTGCTAATTAAATAGGAAATAAGGCTTATTGGATATTTTAAAAATGAAAATCAGTTTTTAATGAACCCGCGGGTTAAAGATGTGGGTCCTGTATCCATGATGGTACATACCAAAATTGGCCTCTTTGCAGCGAGGAAGAGTGGTTTGGGTGCAAGCAGAATGTGCCGGACAGCCTCGCATCTCAAAAACTGCAAATGAAAGCTATCTTTTCTGCCAGGTTTGCCAGCCTTGAGGAGCAAGCTTGGCTCTTCACTTCATGGATGTTGAAAAGGGATTGCAAATGCTTAATGCATTTCATCTTTTGTGTTTTTTCAAAGGGCTCGCATATGAGGCAAAGGAAAGACCTGTACTTTGCTGATGGACAAAGGAAAAAGGACTGGCATGACAAAGAAGCTATAAGGAGGGACTTGGAGCGCACAGGTGTGTAAGACCGTACCTGTTTATTGACAACGGTTTATAAAATAGCACAGATCCTTTTTTAGCCAGGGGAAGGTGGAACGACATGCTCAATGCCATGACCAGGGAGAGGTTCAGGACACTGTTTTTCCACATCGCTCTTGCTAGTTCAGAAGTGGTAATGAATAATGCAGCAATTTGGGCGGTCTGTGGTGGTGCTCTGAGGTGAGTGATACTTTAGAAGAGAGAAGAAACAGGCATCTTTATGAACTGGACAGGTATGGTAGACCCAGGAAAGGAGTAGAAAGTAGGGGAGGAATCCTAGGAACACAAGTCCTTATAAAATCTGCTGTTTGCATAGTTCGAGGCTTAAATCCAAATGCTTAACTTCTTTTACTAAAGGGCTCCAGTGGGGAGGGATGCTATCTATACATTTCCATGTATTTGCACAAACTGTATCATTCTCCTTGTAAGAGCTTTGTCAAGGTTGCTGTTGAATGTCAGCCTCTGTGCCGTGCTGAAGAACGAGACAAAGATGAGGAATATTTATACCCTGTGCAGGCACTTGCACCTGCGAACCAGAAGAAACATTGCGGATCCAATTTTGTTCCTTGTTGTCTTGAGTGTCCCTTTAATTCTGGTGTCAGAATGAAGAGCTTAATGCTTCCTATTCTCACGGGCAAGTGGTTTATATCAAAACGTGCTACCGTTTTTGTTTTTGTTTTTTAAAAAAAAAGGGTAAATTGATGCACTCAGCTTAGCGCGAAGCATGTTTCAGAGCTCACAATCGGAGCTAACAGGCAGTGGTGTTGGAAGAGTTCTCAGACAACAGGAAATGACTGCTTTCCATTTGATTTATGGCTCAGGCTTTGGCCTGGTTAAATACTAATTAACGGTAATGATGCATGTTTGATTTGTATCCATCCACAGGAAATGGAGAGCAAGGTAAACCATACCCAATGATGGACGCAGAGCGAGTGGACCAAGCGTACAGGGAAAATGGCTTCAATATCTTTGTCAGCGATAGAATTTCCCTTAATCGCTCTCTTCCAGACATCAGACACCCCAAGTGAGTACCACTCTGCACCTGCATGAGTGAGAGAAGCCTTCAGTTGTATTCCTGTGGGAATTTATTCTCCCTTTCTTATTTTGGACTTTCCTATGTGTGAGCCTTTCAGAACGGCAGTTCTGCTGCCTGCTATCCTGCTATACAGTGCTGGGCATCCTAATTGAGGCAAAAAAGTATAAGGGCGCTTGCTTGTGGGTGCACCTGGACAGTGCTGATTGACCCCAGCAAACCTACATTTATATGCAGAGCAAATGCTCCGTGAGCAGTAGTAGTAGCTTCCCCAGCCACTTGCCAGTACATCTCAACCCTGACCTGGAAGTGTCCTGCCCTTCTGTCTTAACCCTGAGGTCTTTTTTGGTGCCAGTTTTAATTTTTGAAGCTACTGAAATGGCTAGCAACTGCAGCAGTTACACAGGATAACTTCATTTTTGTTTATTTGTCCAGTGGAAAGTGGGTTTAAATGCCTGGCTCACTTGACAAACGACCCCAAAGAGCAGTCAAATAATGACTCTATTGCTAATTACCTGGTCTAGTTTTGCCCAAGTGACCAGTTGGAGTTGAGCTGCAATTTTATAAACCATGAATTTCCTGTGCAGTTCTACCATGATTCAAGTTTCCCAATCTAGATGCATTTATCTAGGAGAGGATACTAATTTTTTGGAATGTGTCAACAAAATCTGAACGATGTCATGAACTATGGTTAAGGGGAATTTGGTCAGAAATGCCAACGGCCTTATAATAACCTTTTTCAGAGATTGTAAAGCTGGCCATAAAAACCGGTTCCAGCTGAACTGTTTGGATTTGAACTCAACATGTTAGGATGTCTTTTCCTTTTCATAAGTCATATTTGACTTTGAACTTAAAGGATATTCTCCTTGGCAATTGGAATAAGTCTTGAGCGAGGATTTAAACCTTTTCTACTCAAAACCCTGCAGTGCTTTTTAATTGTAGAGTGCATGTGGTTCTTAATCATCTGAAGCTACCTTTAGCTATTGAATGCAAATTTCATCTATGAAAAGCGGCTTGGGGTTTTTTTTTCTCATCCTGATGGCAGTAATTTCATCTAAGACATCTATACTTGAAAGCAAATTAGACTTGAGGTTTTTAAAACTTTTTTTTATTTTCTCAGTTTTATCTCACTAAATCTTAGGCTTTTTCAGGCACCAATCAGAGCAAAAATGAGCAGCCTGTGCAGATGCCTTCCTTAAATTATAAGTATAAAAAAAAGGTGTTAATCCAGTCCCTCATAACTCATCATTTTGGGAGTGCAGCTCAAGTATTTGAAAGGAAAGGGATCAAATGGAGCATGTTAGGAGATCTTGTCTGGTTGGTCTACTTTGAAAAACCCCTGAGTGAGCTTCAGTGAACTTAGGCTCTGCTCAGCTTCTATTTATTTGGGATTGTTTGGGGCTTGGAGACTTTCTCAGTGTTAGACAATGCCAGTCTCCCTTCACCTGACGATTTAATATATAGGCTCATCCCTAATGGCGCATAAGGGGCTGATGCTGACTCCTCGCTACTATTTCCTTTCCTTTCTCTGTTTAAGATGTGGAAGTTCCAACTCCAATCCCCAGTTGAAATTAGTAAGTGAAGTGTCTTGGTCTCCAGCTGTTTTAAGATGTCACAAGTGATACCAGGGTAGAACATTCAGTTGTCTTCACCATGAAACAATCCCATCTCTTTCTTCAGTCGCGTCTTACTTGCTACTTACCTCCTTCTCAGCTAATAAAGGAGGGAAGGACCTGATGGACAAAAATTTCATCCTAGAAGCAGATCCATCCCGTGCACTGAAAGATGAGGATCCCTTAGGGAGAAAATATTTAGCAATCGTGTAAATACTCAGTGCTATATACTGCAAGAACAACTTAGAAGGGATGGGGGGAGAACGAACCTGGTGCAGGCAGCCCTGATTCTGTTTCCTCCAAACTCTAGTGTTTCACTTGGCAATCTTCATTTTGTGCTTTGCAGTATTTACTGCACGGAAGCCTGTAGTGACAGGACGATATATCTGATCCATTGAGCAGGGTTAAAATAGAGCTAAGGTAACAGGTTAATAATTGAAAAATCAAGCTGAGAGTAGCACCGAAAAGGGGAGAGTGCCGCAAATACGTGCAGCATTTTATAAATACTTAATCTTCCATATGCAAACCAATTCAGGGCAGCTTTGCAGACTTCAGACAGAAGCAGTGTCTGAGTTAACTGGAAATGCTTCCATTCATCACAATATAAGGCTTCTGATCCCTGCTGAAGGGAGCTTTGAGAGTCAGCAGTTGGGTGACCAATCGGTCGTTTCAGCAAAAATGCACCGCTACTGCTCTTGTGCACAGAATTAAAATATGCCTTTTTTTTCCTATTGCTACTGCCAGTAGCAAACCGTATTTTTGTACAGAGTTGAAGTGTAGTTGGAGGACGTGAGCGATCTTAATGAAGTTGAGCCAATTTTTCCCACCCTCCCCCAAATCGACCATCTGTAGTCTTCTCTGTCTGCAGCGTCAGTAGAGAAATGGCTGTTACAAAGCAAAGACTGTTCCAGGAGGATGACTGATGTGCAGGCTTTGCTTGTTGTACCCAAACTATGAATGCTTAGCAAAGAATGAAGGGACAGGTTTTTCCAATGCTGTGGAATTTATTGTTGATCACAAAGTTGCAATCGCTGAATCTTCTACAATTATGCAGCAAATCGTTTATCTCGTGCAAGTTGGCATGCGGACCAACCAAGAGTTTCACAAGCTGTTATAAAGACAAAACCTTTTGACCTATGCTTTATAGTCATCGCTTGTCATCGACAGCAGTGCAATTTGTGTTAAGACTATAAATACGAATATATTAATACAACAGATATGAATGAATGGAAGATTCCCCGAAGGTTTCAGTTATGTTGCTGTCGCTATCTACAAAGCCATATGCGAGTCCCCAAGAGGCGATTCAAGCATTACTCAGGTACACCATCAATTTTTGAGCTTTCATTGCTCTGTCTGTGTTTGTGAGGAATGATGCTGAGCACTCCCTCCCTGTACTCTGCACTGCTGCCAGCCAGCCTGCTTAATGATGGCTGTAATGACAAATGTGTTGATGCTGGCCTCAGAAGCACTCTTCCAAGTGGCACCTCCTCCTCCCACCCAGAGGCTCAAAGCTGCAAGAGAAAGAGATGCAATTATTTTGTTGCTTGTCTATCCGTTGGTGGTAAAAATTCACGGCTTTCCCCTGAGCCTGTCAGAGCCCATCGGCCCTTCATCCTCATCTGTAAGCACAGGAGGCTTACAGACGAGACCCTAACAACCTGAAAGCCTGTCTTGTCTCTCCAGGTATTAGCAATGCCACATGGCTTCTAGTAAGAGGAGCAGGTAGACTTGATGCCCAATCTCTCAAGCCCCAGCTGAAAACCGAGAGCAGCAGAGAACCCTGCTCCTCTTTGCAAGCCAGTCTGATCATTTAAACACAAGGAAGAGGAAAACTGAAACAGGCCTTTCTGATCAGGAGGAAGCAGCTGGTTGAGCAGGCCCTGACAGCCCTTGGAAGCAAATCCAGCTCTTTGGAATATGTTTGCAGATGGAAAGAGGTTGGATAATAGGTGCTGTGGTTGGGTGACTAGAGGCAAAGCATGGGTTGCTCTCACAAAGGTTTGTGTTTTAACCAGGTTTTCACACTACCCTGGAGGTATTTGCCCCCTTCGGTTTAATAATAGGTATCCTCTTGAATGGCAGAAACTGGTCCCTGTGGCTGTCTCCAGGAATGCATTCCTACAGAACACTATCCCAAGTTAGATATGTAGATATAGATCTGTATCTATCTAGATAGATCTAGATCTTTATGTTAATATTTAACTTGGGATAGTGTGTATATGTTTGTGTGTATATGTATATATAAATAATAGTGTGTGTGTATTTCCCTACCTTTGGAAAGCAGCTGCTCAGGAAAGTGTCCATCCAGCTTGAAATGGCCAAGTTTCAGCTAGGTGAATATTAAAAGCAAAATTTATAGTGTGGTATTAAGCCTCTGAAATGCAGGCCCTTTAAATTTGGGCAGCACTGAGCTTCTCAGCCTTTGAAATGATTCTTTTAGAGAAGTTGCTCTTTGAGACTTAAAGCAGAGGAACCAGAAAGTAGGCAAGAGACTTCTCTGTTTTGAGCTATAAAAGAGGCTACCTTTTAAAAGCAATTTTGGCCGGTGATGAGCTATCTTTGCACCTTAAATTTTCTCAGGTTAATGCCATTTAATTTTATGGAATGGGTACTTTTAGTCTGTTACTATAGAAAAATCACCACTGACTGATGAGAGTGGTGCTTTGTGGGTAAATATCCTAGCTATAATCGGGTGTTGAGGATTTATCCCAGTAATTGCTGTTGCAGTTCTGGTGAATTATTTTGTTTAGCTCATTGATACCTTTTTTTATCCATGTCTAGCTGCAAGAACAAGCTGTATCTGGAGAAGCTCCCAAACACTAGCGTGATAATCCCATTCCACAATGAAGGATGGTCATCTCTTCTCCGGACAGTGCATAGTGTCCTAAATCGCTCCCCACCTGAGCTGATTGCGGAGGTTGTGCTGGTGGATGATTTTAGTGACAGAGGTACAGTACTATCTGCCCTTACACCTACCTGACTAGATTCATAGGAGTACATTGTAGGGAAGCAGTTTGATATTTGCTGTGGGCCAAGTGTTAGGATTTCAATGTCCCCTGTGATATTTGCTGGCGGCATTAAGCCTTAAACCAAGATGAAAGTTGCATTTCCTTTTACTGCTGCATGGCTTTAGTTGTTGATGGCATCAGAAGTGCTTCATGGTGCTGCATACATGCTTGGTTCATTGCTAAGTAAAAAAAGATGCATGCACGTTTTTTTTTTTTCAGTGCGTGTTGACATGTACGATGGAAGTTCTGCTCCTACACACTTCACATGCAGTTCCTTAAATGTTGATTCCCTGTTTGCATTTTGAGTTTTTTCTTCCCCTGTACAAAAGATTTGCAGTTTTGGTGTGAATTTTTTAAGCCCATTTGCCAGGATCAGTTTTTGTGTGTTAACCTCTGTAGAAACATTTGGAAAATCCACAACACGCATATCTTGGCTTTGTATCCTCCACACTTGCCTCCATTTCTCCCTTACCCTTTCATTCCCCTTTCAAGTGCACAAAACCTCAAGGAGTGGAGATTGCACTGCCTGAGAACATTTGCTAGGGTTGGTTAAGTGTAGCCCGTAGGTTGGGACTGACCTCCCACTTGCCTATGGCATGCAAGTGTCTTGTCTCGGCAAACTGCTCAGCAAGAATTTCACAGTGCAATCCTCGGGTGAACAGTTGCTTTCTTCCCATCTTCATTTCTACAGACCGGTAAAATTGTTTCCTGCTTCTGCCCCTAATTGAAGTACGGAGAGGCAGATTTGACACCTTGAGACACATAGCCACCATAAGTTAAGCAAGTGCATATGTGGCACATCACCAGAAAATACAGCGAGCCTTGTGGTTGCAACTCTGGAGCTTAATTTGCAGTTGTGCCAGTCTCATTACAAAAGATCTTATGCTTTCTGAACTGTTTGGGCCACCCTGTGCTATGCTGTACAAATTAAGCTGTAGCTTAAGTAGAAGGGATAAAATTAAAAGCTAGTAGCTTTTATGCTTCATGGCATAAAGTGACTATCATAGGAAAGAATTAATTTCCTCACCCTCCAGTGTATTATACAGTTGAAAACCTCACAGAGTTTATACTTACTGATGCATCCAGCATTGTCCGTAGTTGGAGATGATAGAGCAGCTTTGTTGGCTCATCTGACTGGTCTACTAATTATTCAGTTTTCTCTATTTTAATTCTTAAAGAAGCTAAAGTCTCCGGCTTATTTGCTTCAAGGTTCTCTTAAAGCTTTTCTATACAGATGTGCACAAGGAATGCAGGGCTCTGTGTACGGAGGTGTTTTTGAGAGAGATTTCCAAGGGAAAAAATCCTGAGGTGAGAAATGGCTCCTATGCTTCTGAAATTCATGTAAAAAAATGCCCTCTGAAACCAGCCAGTGCATAACTGACCTGTCCCGTTGCCCAATAGCTACACTAATTCTTCTGAAGTGTAACTTCCAGTAGCTTGCGGGCATAACATGGTACTCTGAAAAGCTCATTAAGCTGTAGTTACGTGGCTTCGGTGACATTTAAAGCATTTTGAGACTAGGAAGAAAATGCGCTTTTAGTAGGACCTCTCTGCTGCTTTTCAGTGTAGCACACTAGAGGCAGGTTAGTTGTAACCAAACCAAACACAAGTTTGATTTTTCTACTGCCTGGTTAATCTTTGCGCAGGAGGATGGCTTCTGTCTAGGATGAAGAACATTTTTGTTTCTCTTCAAAACTTCATTTGTCTGTTTTGCACAGTGGCTTTTCTTGCTGGCTTCATCTGCTTTGACACCAATTGGTATTCTCCCTTAACCTCCCTGAAATGACTGCCAAATCCCTTCCTCTCTCTTTAAATAGAATTCTTCTGAGGAGGCAAAAGCAGCAACAAATCCTGAAATGGGCAGCTTGGATTCAGTTGTGTGCCTCTGTATTAAAAATTCATCCAAGACTGGCCCTGGGAATGAGCAGTCAAAAAGTGAACAGCTGAAAAATAACCACTGTGCATCTCTCCAGCAAAGCTTTCCCCTTCAAGTGTTTAAAGGGCTGTGTCGCTTCACTGGGCTCAGCCCCAGTGTGAGCACTGACATCGCTACAGGCTTGCCCGAATGTGAAAATGGCTGAGAATCGGAGACCATGCATCTCGAGACTTATGACAGCTGGCTCGGCTGTGCCAGAACATAAATAAGTGGGTGAGAGCGGTTGTATACAAAACCCCCAACTTATTGATCTGTTTTAAATCCGAGCAAATTCAGTCTGCTAAAATTTGAGCACTCCTAAGAATTGTGAGTAATGGCTCAGAGGCTTGAATGAAGCAGGTCTGGAAAAACTAAAAGTGACTCTGGTGGCTGTGCCAGTCATTAGCCCCATGTGCTTCTGCCAACGCACATCCCTCCTGAATTGCTGCCCTCCTTTTAATGCTGTTGTGATCAGGACTCTCTTGTGAAAAACACAGTATAAATAGTGAGTGAACCTTGTTCCAAAAAGCTCACAGCCCACAGAGGAAAGGCACATAGCAGGTGCAAAGAGCAACAGGCACACAGTGGATGTGGAGCGGGGCAGGGGTTCATGCATATTTGTAGGGATTTTTTTTTAAGAGGATTTTGTCCACAGGTCACTCCTGTAAGCAGTATAATAAAATACTGCACTCTGCAGCCCAATACTTGGGTTTTCTGAACTTGAGAGCACCTGTGCACTGTCTCCTTGATTTGTCTTTTAGTAACAGCCTTTAAAAAGCTGCACAGCTGCAGTGAAGCTGGCTGGGCATGGAGCCCCCAATCCAAGCATTTTGTGCTGTGCTGCTGAGCACGGGGCTCTCCCACGCTTACCTGGGCATTTCCCTGTTTCTGGCTCAGCTGTGCCATTACGTTAGTGCAAGTTTGTCTGCAAAGAAGGATGGCTTACATTTCTCACTTATTTTTGTGCCACTTTTTTTTTTCCTCCTCAGCTTCTCCATAGATAAGAAACTCTTTATATTTCAGGATAAAAAGCTACAGCAAGAGGGATCCCATTTATGATTAACATAGTTGGTATGGAAACGTGGCGAGAGCAGCCACAAGTTATTTTCCCTGCCAGATATTTAATATATCTGTTTTCATCCATGTTGAGCTTCCAGATGAAGGAGCGCTTAGGAGTTCCTAGTGCCAGGGTGTGCGGGGAGATGGGGAAGGCGACTGATGAGCTGGCAGAAGTGGTTATGAAATGGAAGAAATACAAATTTGGGTTTAATTGGTAGCTGCCATACTGCGGTCTGCAGCCTGCCATGAGAGCCAACTGCTTTGTCGTGTACTAATGGAGCTCTCAAACTAATGAATCATGGAAGTGTCAGCAGCTATTTATTTCTTAATTTGCTGGGGAGGGAGACAGTTTTGTGACCTTTAGCACTATACATTTTTCAACCCAAAACAGGTTGCTCTGACTGCACCAGGCTTTTTTAATATCTTGCAGGGAAAGCCTTACTAAGCAGGATTTTTTAAATGTTCAATTTCTCACTCCACTACCTCCTTTTGCAAATACAACGCTCTGTGCTTTTCACCCCTGTTGCTTTCCTATGCCCATAGCATAATGGAGCCAATCAGAAGCTATTCTGATCAAGCACATCAGTCAATAACCCATGGGTTGATCAGGATACTCTCTAAAAACATGTTGTTTAAATGGTCACTGTTGGAAAGTGTGCTTAAATATTTACTGAGGGTTTTGCACCATTGTGGGAATGCCCAGCTTGCTTTGCTGCACTCTTAAGTTGCCGTTCTTGTTGACACAGGGCTTCCTCTTTGGCCCGTTGCATGGAATTTGTAGCCCTAACTTTCTTCACCATGTTGTCATGATCCAAAGAGGGATTATGAAACAGTAGTTAAAAACAATTAATATAGTCTCTCAACTCTGTTATTGGAAAAATGTGACTTGGAGCTGTTATTTGAAAGCTGCTTCTACCTCAGGGGTGGGCAAAATACAGCCCAGGGGCCGGATCCAGCCTGCCAAGCCATTCTACCTGGCCCGCAGGGCCCCTAAAAAAATTTAGAAAATTAGTATTTATTTGCTCCTGGCTGCCTGTCAAAGATGACAGGAGACAGGGGCAGTAGGACCCAGGGGACGCCAGTGGCAGGACCCAGCAGCTAGGCCTGCCCAACCCCACCCCACCCCTAACCAGAAGACCCTGCCTAGCACCAGAGAGGAAAATGTCAAGCTTGCCAACACTTGTTAAGTGGCTCTGTGCCCAAAATAATTGCCTGCCTGTGTTCTACCTGGACACAGCCGGTTGCTAGCATTTAAGCCACATTCCTGGTAAAGCAACCAGAGCATTATAGTTCCTCATGCTGTTTCCTGATGAACCGAGTTAGTGTGTCTGTTTCTGAATAGAAAAGAACCCTTTCCTTAGGTGCTAGAAAATCACCCTTTCCTTGGGCATGTTTGCAATCATTTAGCAAGAACCACAAATGTTTGACATTTAAAGTAGGGTCAGTTGCTTCTGTTAGCTGCAATGGAGGAGCACTAAAATGTTGTTGGAAGATGGGGCCCCAATCTGTCCAACATACACCTCTCAGCAGACACTTTGGTATTCAGTTGAGTGTGCAGGTAGAGAGACTTAACGGGACTTGTGCATTTCCTGGGCCCTGCACACATCCACTTCATTATTGCAGGTGCTCATAAACCTGATAGCATTAGCCCTTCTGGGTGAGCAGAAAATCCAGATGCCTGAAGCGTGCATCATGACTTCAGAATTCCTGATCATAAAGCTTAGCTAAGGTAGCTCTACATGGATTTATGGCTTCATGTTTTAATTTCAACAGTGATTCATTAATTCTGATCTGAGTTAAATTAAGCTCTTTCATATCCTGGCTTGCGGAGCACTAATTACATCCCTGTGAGCCTGTTGTTATCGGAATGGCCCTAAGTCAACGAAGAGTCTCTTTCTCTTCCTCCCCCCTCCTATGTACATCATGCGTCTCCTGGGGACGGTCAGATGTCGAATTTGTTTGCCTT